GTTTTGTTGTTGATGTTTTATTTTACTTTGTCAATACTAAGAAGTGGTTGGTAGGGCAGAGGTTCTCTAGGAATGAAGTCAAAGAAAACAGAAGGGACAGAAGACACACAAGACAGCTCCCCAGACTTAAGTAAAACCCACCCTAACTGCAAAAGCCATCCCTCCCCTTCCCCCTGCCCAAACAATTCAGTCCACAGTCATTAGACAGGGTGGGGCAGCAAAGGATATCTGAGCACAGGCTAGGTAAGGGCAAAGGGGAGAGATGCCCTTCACCGCAGAGACAGCAACTGGTGATTCATCACGTACAAGGAAATTAATCAAATAATTAAATGTAATGAGGATAATGAGAGCCTAGCCTCTTACTGTCAAAGAATGAAAGAAACCCAGAAATAGAGAAAGGGAGAAAACTGGGCTGAATCCCCTGGTAATAGAGTGGAATTAGAGATATCTGATTAAATTCACATATTTTAATATATAAATAAGCAAAAATAGAAATAAGCATAAATACAGAATATATATAAACATAACAGGTGTGTGTATCCCTAGCCCTATGCTAAGAGATCTACAAGCACTAACACCCAACAATGGCAATCACATCCAATGACCAGATCTTGTTTTCTAAATCTTGCCCTCCACTAAAAGGAACCAGGGATCCTTGTAGGAAGAGTGGACTCCAGGGCTCAGGTAGGGAAAACACAAGCCTGGAACAGTTTACCGTACTTGAAAGTAAGAAAGTGTTCAAAGAATGACAAGGACATCTTGAAAGGACAGAGAATCAACCTGAAGGAACTCCTAATGGCCAAATGTGGGATAAGCCACGCATCCAAACAAGTAAGGAGAGGAACTGATTAGAATTCACGGAATAGGGAAACCCATGAATGAGGCCATGTGAGGTAGCCAGAAAGACAGACAAGATAGGGAGATGGACAGAAGGGGTGGGGGGGAGACAGGAAGAGAAAGAAAAGAGAGAGAGAGAAGGAAATACATGCGTTGACAAGGGGATACTTACAGTCTCAAAGAAGTAACTCTCAACAAAATATTTATTTATTACCAGGGGGAAAAGAGTAGCTTCACAGTACAGATTATCTGGCAGACACCATCCTAAAACAAAGTGACTGACATCAACCGCCAACGGTGTAAACCCAAACCGTGCACTACCTGATAAAATAATGTGCTAAGACAACACTTTCCACAGAGCAACACTTGATTTTTTGTTTAAATATTTTATTCATTTCCTCGACAGAGAGAGCTAGAGTAACACAAGCAGTGGGAGCAGCAGAGGGAGAGGGAGAAGCAGGCTCCCCAGTGAGCAGGGAGCCCGCCGCCCGATCCCAGGACCCGGGATCATGACCCAAGCCAAAGGCAGATGCCTAACCGACTGAGCCACCCAGGCGCCCCACAACACTTTTTTGATATTCCAAATTAAGAAGCATGGGAGGGCACCTGGCTGGCTTAGTCAGTAGAACATGCAGAACATGCCTCTCTTATTCTCAGGGTTATGAGTTGGAGCCCCACCTTGGGTATAGTGAATCCTTAAAAAAAAAACAAAACAAAATCTACAAAATAAACAGTTTACCAAATTAAGAAACATTATACAAAATAATTGGCCTACAATCTTCAAAAATGTCAGTCATGAAAGCCAAGAAAAGACTAAGGAACCGTTCCAGATTAAAGAAACAAGTATTAACAAAGAAAAAAAAACAAGGCCAACAAGTCATTTGCCCCCCAACATGGCAAACCAAGACTTAATTATAGTTTCAACCTACCCCAGGAATGTGACCTTTTAAAAGTCAACCAGAAGTTAACTGATAAGCACAAGTGAGGTAATCTGCATGATAAAAATCCTGCTCTCGCCCGCTGCCCCGGCTCCTCCCTCCTCTCCAGCTTCTCCCCGGGGCGGCCGCGCGGGAGGGGGGGGGGCGAGATGGCCAAAGCACAGGCCACGCGGCCTGGTGGCGACACAGTCTTCGGAAGATCATTCGCAAGGAAATCCCAGCTAAAATCATTTTTGAGGATGACCAGTGTCTTGCTTTCCATGACATTTCCCCTCAAGCACCAACTCATTTTTTGGTGGTACCCAAGAAACCTATATCTCAGATTTCTGTAGCAGAAGATGATGATGAACATCTTCTTGGACATTTAATGATTGTTGGCAAGAAATGTGCTGCTGATCTGGGCCTGAAGAAGGGTTATCGAATGGTGGTGAATGAAGGTTCAGATGGGGGACAGTCTGTCTATCACGTTCATCTCCATGTTCTTGGAGGTCGGCAGATGAACTGGCCTCCTGGTTAAGCATGTTTTAGGGATAATTTTCCCTTCTCTGGGCAATGGTCAATATTTCCCAGTTCCAGTATGTTAAACAGTATACTTACTTTTGTCTGTGTATGGAGAGATTGAGGAAATAATTTTTAAAACCCATACATAATAAAAGACAATGTTGCATGGTTTACAGTCAAAAAAAAAAAAAAAAAAATCCTGCTCTCTCCCCCCTCAAAGGAAGACGTCCTGGCATGAAATAATCCTTTCTTTTGCTAGTAACTCCAAACCTCATCCTCTTTCCCAGAGAAAGCTCTCATTTTTCACAACTCCGAAGAGCATCTCCACTTGCTGGATACAGATGTTGTCTGATTCATGAAATGCTTAATAAAGCCAATTAGATCTTCAAATCTACTCAGTTGAGTTTTGTTTTTTAACACAAGGAAACAAAACATAATTCTGAGAAGGACTGGTTTCATATAAAGGACAATATTGGCAACTGGCAAAACCTGAACGGAGTCTGAGGCATGAATGGCAGAACTATTAAAATGTTAACTTCTTGATCTTGATGGCTGCATTGTACTTACAAAGAAGAATGTACCTGATTGTGGGCAAAATACACTAAATAACTCAGGGATGAATAAGCAACATGTTGAAAACTTAAACTCTATTCATGGCTGGAGGGTGAGGGTGGGGCACAGTTCTTGTCCCAGACATTCCCAATCAGTTCCACAGACTCCTTGAATGCATTTACGTTGGTTACCTTAGACAAACGGTTCTGATCTATATACAAAATTCACTGAGTAAGGCATCTGTTATGTGTGATGCTGACTAGAAGCACAGGTTACTTACCAAAGTCGGGAATGAGAGAGAGAGAGAGAAACTTCTATCTCTCACATGCTTTAGTGAGGCTGACTTTAATACTCTTAAGATGTTTAGAGTTCAGTAAATGTTACCTAAAATCAGCCCTGACTGTGAAATCTTCCATTCACAGCCTTGTATTTCAGTCTGAGGTGTCCACTGTGCAGATGTACAGAGATGGTAAAGGGATAAATAAAGAGTACTGGTTACGTCTCCTGACCCACATACTGCAGAGCCAGATATGAGGCAAAGGGTGCTCCTTCTAGCATGGAGGGGCCCACGTGCTAAAAAGAAATGTTCCTACACAACCAACCTAATGCTTTGGCCCAAGCAGTAAAATCGAAAGACAACTGCCCACATCTCCTTTTCAAACAACTTCATTTCTGAACCAAGAAATGCAGAGTAAGAGGGAGGATATAAAACCTCTTCTTTCCACCTTTCCACAGACTCTGTTATATTCCATATTAGATGGCAAAGTCACTCCTCATAAAAATGCTAAAGATCTACTTCCTTTTTCTAAAGAAAACACAGATTCCATGTGTAGAAACCCTATCAGGTTAGAGTGGAAGATTAGTTCTTGAACTCTTACAGCAGAACATAATTTTCTCTTCCTCTTAATAGGTAACTAAAAAGTACAATGTTCCATAACCAATACAAAAATAGCCTGCAATCACTAATAAGTTCATACAAGGCACCACAGAGCCAGAGATTCATTAATGCTCTATGGCCCGAACAGGCATCCATCTTCTGCTATCTATTATTATTCTGTACAGAATCTGATTTATATTTAACTTAATCTGTAGCAAATCGGTATTTCATCAAATGTTCAGAAGCTCAGACTACCAGACTGTGATAATTTTCTATTAGAGAGAGTGAGACTCCAGATGAGTAAGTTAAGTAAAAAGAGGAGTCAAATGGACACAGCAACTTCCCTTTCTCCTGTATTCTCAGAGACCAGTCTACACAACGTATACAGTCTGGGTCACATTGTTCTCAATATTCATCATACAACATGCTTGCCTTTTAGGAGTTTAACTCTATGTTCTCGATCTTTAGGAAGCATCAATACAGGAACACCTCACTTGAGTAGTTTTTTAAGATTTTATTTACTTGTCAGAGAAAGAGAGAGAGAGCACGAGCAGGGAGAGTGGCAGAGGGAGAGGCAGGCTCCCCGTGGAGCAGGGAGCCCGATGTGGGACTCCATCCCAGGACCCTGGGATCACGACCTGAGCCGAAGGCAGACGCCTAACGACTGAGCCACCCAGGCGTCCTTCACTTAAGTAATTTCTGTGTCTTACGCGAAATCGCAGCTAAAACATAATTCACTATGTCACACAACCCACAGAATGTCTTTTTCGTTGAGCACAATGCCAGGAAAAAGCCTGTTTCTGTAAACAAATGAGCAGGCTTTCTTTCCACGGACAATGAATACTATGTAATTCAATGCTATACAGAGAAAGGGCTGGTTCCTTGTTAATCTTAGCAGCCTGAAAACTTAAAGTCAAATGTCTCGCACAACAGTTAAACTGGCTCCCCTCAGGAGCCTGGTAACTTCAAGTCTCTATGCTCTTCTTAGATGGCTTATTATGTTTTTATCTTTAATTGTTGTTTAATACTATCTTTAATTCTATTGGTAGATTTAAAGCCTCTAGAAAGTACTCAGAGTATGTATGTACGTATGTATATATTTTCCATCTCTTATTGTTTTCCTTCTGGTATCTCTTACATTTTTGGGTATCATTCTACATTTAATGACCTAGAAATTAAAAATGGTATTGACACCAAGAGATTAATTTAATAAAGAACAAGCCATTTGCCTCATTCACTCCCCCTGACAAACCCCTGACAAACCCCTGACGGCCCAGCAGCAGCAAGCATATCACCTTTGCAGTAGTCGGCAGGGTCCTCCTGCTCCTCATCGTCGGATCCTAGGATCTCCTCCTCGGGCTCTGGGGGTGCGGGGTCTGGCAGAGGCGGTGGCGGAGGTGGAGGCGGTGGTGGAGGAACTAAGGGAGCTTTCTGCTGAGGCTCCGGCCTGAAAGAGTGGAAGGAAAATTCCTATTTACTTCGAAGTCAATCTTGCATTATGGACACACATAAGAGTTTCTTAATGAAAGAAAAAAATAAAACTTGTCACACACTAAGAAGAAATGTTGATTAATGTCACTTTGTCATTTTAGCTGAATTCAAGTCATGTTTCAACATACAGGTCAGGAGGAAAAATTATACTTTGCAGACACATTTTCACTCAGTGACTCAGTATTTCTTAAGTCCTGACAATATTATGAAATATAAGTGAAATAGAAAGAGTATTCACCCTGCCCCCATGATACACAGCCTTATTAGTTAGAACACATCCCACAGAGATTATAAAAAGGCAGATGAAAGCAGCCCTGAATTTAAAAAAGGACTTATTTTCCATTATTTTAAAATTAAATCCCATAGAAATAGTTAAGAATGTGGTTAGGTTTCCTGGATGACTTCTAAAAGCTAATATATGCTGTACCTGATGTACAGTTATTTTCATTAAGGAATTCAGTTATCTATCAACCTCATCAAGAACACTGCCCCCAAACTGGAAATTAAAGAGAACACCCACTGTCAAACACAGATACAGTCCATACATTAATGCCAGGTTTGCAAAATGGTCATTTCTAATTGTCACATAAAGGCTCAATGATGATTAAGTATGCTCTTTTACAAAAGATGAGAAAAACTGTAATGCAAAAAAAAAATTTTTAAGCTTGAGAGATTACAGATATAACCCTTCTTTCAAGTACCCAGAAACTCAAGAGCATACTGAATACATTTGCTTAAATAAGTAAAGCATTCATAATGCAATTCTATAAAATCAAGCTTTCACTTACTATAAAATTTAACTGCTATTTCTAACCACATCCTTCTGGGGAAACTCGAACCTAAGGTCACAACGTAGGCACTAGAAGCACATCTCTCCCTTAAACTACGACAAGCTGCCCTAGCAATGGGACCACCACTGCTCTCCCTGAGGGGGCCAGAGCTGTGTGGGTAGGAAATGGGGAGGTAAAAGGTGAGCAGGGGGTCTCTAGTCTGGGGAGCAAGGGGGATCCCACAAGCACTAATGTGGTAGACAAGTGCTCTTATCTTTGGCCTGCCCAGCATTCATGCTCCCCTCCTCCCAGCACCCTTTGAGACGCCACTGCTCTCTGCACAACAGAAGGCTGGTTCCAGCTCCGCTCTTCCCGGTGGTACAGCCGAGGGCACAGCCAGCCAGAGTTCACTCAAGAGCCCTGGTGCCTTCAGGTCAGCGGTCACGGGGACACGTTCATCTGCTAGTACGAGGCAGGGCCAGCAGAGCTGCCCTGTCTGCTGCCCCCTTCCAAGCTGGACCTCTAAGATCCCCCAAATAGCCCTTACTATATTGCCTTTAGCCTAAGTTAACTACAGAATTCATTTATGTGATTCGCCCCCCAAAACTCAAACTGCCACAAGCAACGAAGGGGGGCAGGGGTGAAAGGCCAGCAGTTCTGAGGAACGGTGTGGGGGGGAGGTCCTTAAAGGCAAACACCAGCAAGTAGGACTACCTTTGGCAGAACTAACGGATGCTTATGCGCTAAAAATGACTTGTACTGATTTCTACTTGCTAGAATTTATGAAGACTCAAAGTTACAGCCCTCTGGGTGACAAACACTAGGAGCGTGCTGGTGGTCACATTCTGAGTTAACCATTGCTCATGACGGAGCACTGTTAAGAGTCACAACCAACACCCACATCACTGCTCCAAATACGTCCAAAATACATCCAACAGACCTTATGCAAGTGTGGTCATTTTTCTTGCAGCCTTGCAAATGCTCCTTCTCTTTCTAACATACACGCTCTTCCTGCAAGTTGAATGGTCCCAGACAAAAGACAGGTCCGAGGAAGGGGAGGCAGCAGAGGACTGGACCATCTCACGGCTTCTCCAGAAGAAAGGGAAGGTTAGCAAGATGAATGGGCTACGCGACCCATTCACTCTTCAGGGCTGTGAGCAGAACCCACCCAGCCGACAAATCTGCTCCATCAGAAACGCTTTGAAAGTTAGCTATTTCTTCCTTAGAAATTTTATATGAATAAGCGAGGAGATTCTCCAAATTTAAAAGAAAACGTGTTCTATTCCCTATAGAAACTATGGAACAAGTAATGAGCAGAACATAACTGGAGGATCTTGTTCTACCAGTGGCAGGCTCCACAGAGCTCTGCACTTCTGACAATTGGCCAGGTAATTCGCTGTAGCAGGGGATGTTTTGTCCTCCGTAGGATATTACCAGCAGCCCTGGCCTCAAGCCACTAATGTCAGTGACATCCCATTCCCCCACCCCCAGCTGTGACCATCAAAACTCCCCTGGGGACAAAGTCATGCCCATTTGAGATCCACTGCTCTCACGGTATTTTCTGTATTTAGCTTCATCTTTATGGAGTAGATTGTATTTGTGAGAAGAGAAGAAATTCTAATTTTCATGGGCCCATTTTTACTCATTTGAGAGGCTCAAATACCTTCATCACAATGTGTTTCTTTTAATCACTCTTTACCTGTTTGGTGAGATGCCCACAATGCTTAACAAAATTCTCAGACCCTCTGGTCTCAATGAACAGGCACCTCCCATCCCCCCAGTGAGGACCACATTGAACAGGCAGGCAGAAAGCTCCCCCAGAGCCAAGTCAGTTCTCTCAGGTTAAAGGGATGAGTCGGCTACCTTGAAGTATAAAGGAAGTTGAGTAATGTTGACGTAATATTTCAACTGCCTATCATATCAAAGCATCTAGGACTATGTTGTCTAATCAGTAGCCGCAGGCCACATGCAGGTACTCAAAATGTGACTAATCCAAACCAAGATAAGTGTAAAAATACATACTGGATTTCCAATATTTCATACAGAAAATGTAAAACATTTTATTAATAATTTTATATTTATCACATGTTAAAACAATAATGTTTGGGATATAATTAATTATTAAAATTAAACTCACCTGATTTTTACTTTTTTTAATATGGCTACTAGAACACTTTGAATTACAAATGAGGATCACATGGTATTTCTCCAGGACAGCACTACTCTAGACCCTTCAGAGCACCAACACCAGAGGACAGATTCCTGGTCACCCAATGACTGTGGATTTTTCTTTTCTTTCCTTTTTTAAGATTTTATTATTTATTTGAGTGAGAGAGAGAGAGAGAGAGAGAACGAGGAGGAGAAGAGGGAGAAGCAGACTCCCCGCAGAGCAGGGAGCCCGACATGGGGCCCAATCCCGGGATGCTGGGATCATGACCTGAGCGGAAGGCAGACGCTTAACTGATTGAGCCACCCAGGCGCCCTGTGATTTTTTTTGCCTCACATCAATTATCACCAACTATTAAATCACTCAACTCATCATAGTAAGGCTCAGAGCAATGTGAGAGGCCCAATCATGATTCTGTTTCATCCCACCCATCCTTGTTACTGCTCCCACACAGGAGAAACACAAGTAAATTTGCCTTAGGGCAGCTGTATGGACCAAGCCACACCATCTTTAAGGCTGCCTTCTTCACAGTGGTTTTTCATGGCTTCTACAGTATTACAAAGCCTGGTTAAACCTCAACTATTTAACAGATCCAGAGGCAGCAGTTGGTATCACCAAATACATACTCATGAAATATATCAACAGATTTTTAAAAAAAAATCTTTTCATCAGTCCTGATGAAAACCATCAAGAAGTTATTTCATGTAAGAATTACTAAAAGCAGGGGCACCTGGGTGGCTCAGTCGTTACGCGCCTGCGTTGACCAAAAAAACTTGACAATAAAAAGACAAACCAACTTAAAAATAGGTAGAAGATTAGAACATTTTCCAAAGATGACCTGTAAATGACGAATAAGCAAATGAAAAGATGCTCAACATCACTAGTTGTTTGGGAAATGAAAATCAAAACCACAATGAGATACGCTTCATACCCAATAGGATGGGTATAATTTAAAAATAAACACAAGCAAAACAGACAATAACAAGTATTGTGGAGCCTGAAGAAATTAGAACCCTGAATTTGCAGCACGAGTGTTACATGGCCCAGCTGCTTTGTAGTCTGGCAGTTCCTAAAAAGGTTGAATTTAGAGTTATCATAAAACCCAACAATTCCACTTCCAGGTATATACCCAAAAGAAATGAAAACACATGACCCCACACAGTCTTGTGCAAAAATATTCATAGCAGCATTATTCATAATAGACAAAAAATGTGCATTGACTGATAAATTAATAAATAAAATAAAATGTGGTAATATTATTAAGCAATAAAAAGAAATGAAGTACTGACATATGCGACCACATGGGTGACCCCAAAAACATTATGCTAAATGAAAAATACATTTGACATAAACATGTCCAGACCAGGCAAATGTATAGAGAACAGAGTAAATTAGTGGTTGCTGAAGGCTGGCGGTAGGGGAAAGAGAAAAGGAAGGGGAATGGGGATTAACCGTTAACAGGTATGGAGCAGCTTCAAAAAGCTGTTGTTTTGTTTTGTTTTGTTTTAAAGCAAAAGCACACACACACACAACTCTATCTTTTAATGTCTACTTCAGAACATACACGCCTACAAGAAAAATTAGAAACACCTACATTTAGATTTAGAAAATCTGTACACATGGTCTCCTTAACAACTGCCCCAGCCACATTGACAATGAAAAGTAGTATGTAGTTCTGTAAACTAATTTAAAGAACATGTTCTCATATAACATAAACAAGGCACCACCCCCAGCGACTAGAATAAAAAATTTAGAAACAAAATTCCAATTCATCATTTATATTTTTCACTAAGAATTATATTCATTTTTCCCTACAAAGGACACCTAAATATTCTCACCACTCCAAATAGGATGATCAAAAAATGCCATTTAAAAAACAAACTATTTTCCTTAAATATTATAATACTAAGATGATTTTACCATGCTTATCTACTGCATATTGTATTTTTCATGTACGTTTGCTCTGCCCACAAGGGAGGAAAAGTGAACCCTAGCAAAATGCCTGCGTCCTAGGCCCCA